CATAAGTCTGATATTAGCCCATATGTCTGATACCAATCTAAAAAATCCTCTTCAGACTCATGAAACACATGCAATGAAGCGAAATGCAAAACAATCAAGGGCCAGTGGTAGAAAGTCTTTGGATCCAGTGGTGTTGTAAGTATCTCAGCGCTGGCAGGGGTCTCTCCGTGGCTTCTCTGGCTTCAGAGGTGTGGTTGCGTCCATGTGGCTTGTCTTCTGCAATGTCTCCCAGGGAGTGAGCAGAGAGAGAGAAAGTGTCCCCTGCCTCCAAGAAGGAAGAACTAGATTTCCCAGAATTCTCAGGAGAAGGCCATGCCCACAGAAGTCTCTTTGGCTTTCTCTAGATTGACAGCCTAGACTCCACCCCTACTTTCTTAATTCTTACATTGACACCAGATTAGGTGACTACCACAGATCTCTGGATTCTTGTTTCCACTTGCAAGAAAGAATTCAGGTGAGGGACAACATTCAGAGGAGAGTCAGAGAAAAGGTTTGAACAGAGTGAGAGTATTGAAGTGGGTTACTTAGCTGTAAAGTTGCCAAGGGCACTGAGCTAGTCCAAGGGCACTTGTAGAATGAGGAGTTAGGTATTTATTCTAATGGAGTCCTTCCACCATTGGCTAATTTTGCAGTGAGGCTTCTGTTATCGGATGGATTTCTGGTACAGGCATCAGGTACATGCACTCCTGTACCCTAGAGTTCATGTTGTGTCCTGTGATCAGGCCCTTGGCTGAGGTGTAATTCAGTCATCAGGGAGAAGAGAACCTCCTGTCTTTCCTCACCCACACCTTTTCACAATCCCCATCACTTCTATTGATAAAGAACTGGGTCTTATACGCCCTGCACCTTCTTTGGTGCCAGGGAGGCTCTGGGGAATTGTTCCTCTACCTCCCTTTTGAATTTAGATTCCTTCTTCCCCTGCACTCTGTTCTGTCTAGCTAACAGCTTTCTAATATGGTATATAATTTGCTTACATGTACTATTTCTCTCTATTAAAATTTTAATAAATTACTTATAAACAATGCTATATTCATATAGCATTTAATTATATAGCACTGCTAAAACATAAGCTCCACGTGGGCAGAGATTTGTGTCTCTTTGATTCATTGCTTTGTGATAGCAACTCAAAAGATTCTAGCATCAGGCATAAGTCCAATAAAAGGTGTCCTCTGAGTAAAGTGGTGAAGTGCTGAGCTGCTAACCAAAAGGTCCATGGTTCAAATCCACTGGCCAATCCTTTTGAGAAAGAGGTGGCCATCTGCTCCAGTAGATATCACGGCCTTGGAAGTCAAATGGGGCAGTTACATGAGTCATAATTGCCTGGAGGGAACTGGGTTTGTTTTGTTTTGTTTTCAAGTGTTTAACGGAAAGGCACTTACTGAAGAAGAACAGTTCTATATGGGACATTGTATAAGGACAGACACCTTCCTCAGTCATAGTTATTGGCTCAGTGTCTTCTCTGTGACTGGCACATAGAAGGTATTTAATAAATTTATGTTGAATGAATAGATTGATCAAATCCAACTCTAAGTCAGCAGAGCATTTGGTTCACACAAGGGTAAGATGTTAAATATTACTCTTGAGATTTTATGGCCTGTCAACAAATTGTTTCTCTCTGCAATACTTCTTGTAGTCGGATGGCAGGTTTGAAGACACATTAATAATCAAGTGGTTTTAATAAATGCATATTGAGATGATATCCCACTCTCTTTACGTAGCTGAAAGCAGAAGAGAAGGCACCAAAACAAATAAAAACCCATAATTTTCAAATTAGATTTCTTCCTGCGTGGGCATATAATACCTACTCTTAGTGAGATAAACGGTGCTAAGACCTCATCCACTCCTTAATTAATATCATGAATAAAGAAATTCCAAGCTGTGAATTATTTGGAAGCGGAGAGTAGTAAAGTTAAGAGCCTCTTCACTTCTGAAAATGGCGTACTTGGTTCCACGAGGGCATCCAAAAGCAATGAACAGTGCTGTCTGCAGTAGCTGGCTCGGAGCTCTCCTCTCTTATGTCTGATTCCTTAAGTGCTTGATGCTATATTTTAAGACTTTGTCTGCACTCATTGGAAGTGAGAACTGAAGATGTCAAGGTGTGTGAAGATGCTAGATTCCATGATGTCTTCTACCTTAGTCATAGGAGTAGGCCCATAACCAGCACCACCATCATTTATAGAGCTTCTTTGCTGCTCAAGCCTCTGGATTCTGGACCATCTCTTTTTTAATCTGTCATCTGAAGGTTGTCCTGGGAAATAGACACTTGGACCTTTGTGCTCAGGGTGTCCAGAGAGGGTGAGGCAGCTACAGGGAGGAAGTATATGTTTGGCACCCCAAAGGGACATTTTCCCTGAGAAATGACCCCATGTCTCTTTGCCCCATCAATGGCCATCGCTTTGACCTTTCACCATAGCTTCTTTGTATTTCTATTAGTCCTCGTCCTTACTCTGACCTTTTTATATTTTATTAGTTATTACGTGCTGAGTGCTGAACTAGTCATATCTCATTTTCATATTTCTTTTTAAAAACATAATGAAATCTGCATATCATGGGGTCCTTGAGGCCTAGAAAGATGTTCTTTAACCAAGATCACATGACTACATATTCTCCCTAAATAATACATTATTTGAGGGAAGGAATTATTCTATATTCCTCTTTATACTTGCTCAGCATCACATGCTTGTTGAGTAATGTTTGCTCCAATAGATTTAAAAATCAGGAATATTGGGAAATGCTCATCTACCAATGTGTAATGTCCCAAAACCTAAACAGAGATCCTGGGAGGGCAGAGGTGTGTATAGCATTATTTATAGGTTAATGTCTGTGTCAAATTAGCTGTGACCGAGGATTTCTCAACATCGTATTAAAAAAACAAAGAGAGAAAAAATCAGCTAAAACCTATGGCCATTGAGTCTCTCCCGACTCGTTCCAGCCCTGAAAGACAGAGTCGAATTGCACTATAAGGTTTCCAGGGCTGTAAATCTTTAAGGGTGAGGACTGGCACAGCTTTCTCCCACAGAGAAACTGGTAGGTTTGAGCTCCTGACCTTTGCGTTTGCAGCGAAATGTTTAACTGCTGCTCCACCAGGACTCCTTTTCCAGCCGGCAAACCCTTCTAGTGCCTTTCTTTTGACAAATTGAAAACTTACTCAGAAGGGTTTTCCATTTCCAGTTTCTTAACCTATTATCTCTTGTTTTGCACTCTTGAAGAAAAACAACAAAGTAGGGTGAAGTGTTTGGAAAAAATGAATTCAGAGTATTTTGAGGTTTGCATTTATATTAATACATTAGAAGAGTTGAATTATTTCTTTCTTTTCCACTCTCCCAGCTAAAGCAATAGAAGTACCCAGCTTACATTAGTAAGAAAGCACATTTTAAATATCCTTGCCTGGTCCCGCTGCAGATTTCACTGTGCCTGCATGCCTCTTTCTGTAATCAAATATGATTCTGCGCACATTCTCTTAAAATAACATAGTTACGTTATTCATATTAAAACAAAATGTAGACTTATTCTAAAAGATTTACTTTAGCAGTAGTAGTACTTTATTTTTAAAGTAGTGTTTCAAGTTTAAAATGTGCTCTCAAAGTCACTGATTTCTCATGTGGTAATTATTTATAGGAACTTTTGAAAAAGTAATTAGGTTTTTCAACTTGACAGTGCTTTTAGATGCTGTGAACTATAAATTAATATATAGTGAATTTGTTATGAATTCTATGGCCCATCTGGTCTTTTATTTTTCTGTGGTAAGTACTAACTCCAATGCATTAGGGTAATTGATTTTCTGTTTTCTTAGCCCCAGATGGTCCTCCTGAAAATGTGCATGTAGTAGCAACATCATCTTTTGGCATCAGCATCAGTTGGAGTGAACCTGCTGTCATTACTGGACCAACTTTCTATCTGATAGATGTGAAATCGGTAAGGTGTGTCTTACCATCTGGCAAAGTCAGTATAGAGCATGGTTAGAATTTCAACTTTTGTTAAACAATATGAGTTTGAATTAGGCCCACAATTTGCTTAACCTGTCTGTGTTTCGGTGTGTGTAGATGTGTATGAAATAAAGACATCCCCAGGGTAGAGAGAGATTTGTGGGTATGAAATAAGTTATCATGGAACCATTGGGTAAGTGCTGGACTGCTAACCATAAGTCCAGTGGTCCAAAGCCCCCCGTGAATACGTGGAGAGGAACCAATATGTGAGGAAATTGCGTTCAATACCAGACAAACTGAGGTTGCAATGTCTGAGCAACCTTCCCAAGAAAAGTTATATGCACATGTGATTCTGTAGTTTTAGCACGTTTTGAAAGTATTGGTCCTTAAGTGACATTGAAGAATAGATTAGATTACCTGTGGGGTGTGTAAAGTAAGATGAGGATTTATGCTGGGAATTGTACACTGGGGTTTTGTCTTGGAAAACAAAAACATTTAAATATTAGGGCACAAAAGACTGAGTTGGTGCAATCAGTCAGAAGGAAGCCCACATGTGAGAGGCAAACCTCTCCCCTGCAACAGACTGCTCAGCACTGTGGACACTGCAGACCAGACTTGTTAACTAAGGGCACTGGGCTTTCTTGGGGCCCTACTTGGGTTTTACTGGGACTGATAACTTCGCTTGCCCAGTACCATCGAATACATTTAACTAGTTTTTGCTCTCTATCTTGTGTCTTGATTTTCTCATTTTAGTATGGCTTTATTTCTTTGTAGATGGAAATTTTTTCACCTTTAGTTATTATTAAAAACAACAGTTATCGTTACGGGGCAACTTAAGAGATTATTGGCACAGCTGCTCGCTCATTTGGCCTTCAATTCATGTTTCTTAGAGAGGATTTGTAGCGATTTTAGTCCATAATTGGCACAAAATAATCAGTGTGCATGATATCCTGGGAATGTGCACTAAAAGCACATTATGAAATAATAAAGCTGTGTCTGGTCCAATGAAAGACACTTTATTAAATGAAAATACTTTTAAACAGTTGATTATGCTTAATGGAAGGAAAATGAAACATTTAAAAAGTGATTTTGTAGTCCCATTATTTGGATGGAAGGGATAGAATTAATATTTTGATCATTTATTTTATCTTAGATGCACATGAACTTCATATGAATCATCTTATCTCATGTAGCAACATGTGGTGCAAACTTTCTTTTCTTCATCTTACAGAAGGGGGAACTGAGACATAGAGAAGATCATTTTTTATATAGCTAAATCTGGCTAAAACCAGCCCACAATGGTGTGACAAAACTGAAAATTCACTACTAGCAAGTCAATTCTGACTCCCAGTGACCATGTAGAACAGAGTAGAACTGCCCCTTTGGGGTCTGGAGCTGTGTGTCTTCCTGGGGAAGGCAGCCTAATCTTTTTCACATGCAGTGATGGCTGGTGGGTGTGCTACTGACCGTATAGCTAGCAAGGATCACTGTTGGTGTGGTGGTTACTCATTGCACTACATTCTTCAAGGTCAGTAGTTTGAAATCACCAGCTGCTCCACACTCCTTTGATTAAGGATTTCAGAGGAGGGCAGGGGTGGGGAGGGAGGGGAAAAAAGAGGAGCTGATACCAAAGGCTCAAGTAGCAAGAAAATGTTTTGGGAAATGTTGATGGCAACATATGTACAAGTGTGCTTTATAGAATTGAATGATGGATTGCTAGAAGATTTCTAAGAGCCCCCCCCCAATCAAATGATTAATAATAATAATAAAGGTACAGTCTCTGAAACCCACAGGGGCCGTTCAATCCTGTCCTCTAGGTTCGCCAGGTGTCCGCCTTGGCTTATGACAGGGCTGTGGGTTTTGGAGTCAGCATCCCAGTGGGACACTCACCAGGCCACTTGAGCTCCCTAGGATATGAGAAGAGAAAGGGAATATCTGCCAGTTTGCAAACACAGTGTGCCAATTTCACATATCTAAAACCAAGCTGACGCACTGCCATTGAGTCAGTTCTGATTCATATTGACCCACCATATGTTAGCTCTCCAAATCCTGGGCATCTGAGATAGCAAGAAGTCAAGCTCATCCTAGCACATCAGTCTCCCAGGAGTTTCAGAACTAGGTGATGCTGTTGTTCTGAACGGCCAGCGAGTTAATCCCAATACATGGCAACCCCAAGTACACAGGGTAGTTTTTCAAGTCTCTCAGGAGCACTTCACCAGACCTGTTTTCTGTGGTACCTCCTGGCAGATTCAAAATGCCAACCTTTTTTTGGAACACATAGTAAAAAAAAACAATGAAACAAACAAACAAATTCACTGCCATCGAATCAGTGCCATTTCATAGACCCTTTAGGACAGGGTAGAACTGCCCCTGTGGGCTCCTGAGATGGTAACTCTTTATGGGGGTACAAAGTCCTGCCTTGTCCCCACGGAACTTCTGGTGGTTTCAAACTGTGGACCTTGCAGATCACAGCCAAACTCGTAACCAGTAGGCCACCAGCACTCCTTCCTAGAGTCTTTTAGTTAATTCTTTCATTTGTGGAATATAGATATTCAAATACCTCCATTATGTCAGCCCTGTGCTAGGTGCTGGTTATGTAGATAGGAACAGTATCTCCTTAGCACCGTCAAATGAGGTCATCAAGCTGCGACCTGACTGACAGACTAGACTCCTGTCTTTAGTGAGTTCTCTGCAGTTCATTTCATACGTATGCACATATTAAAAAAACCTGGGTTCCCAGACCAAGGAGAAGCATATGCCATTGACTTAGGATGTAGGGTGCAGACAGGGCCTCTGGCAAGCACCAGCTAAAAGACCACAGAAGTCTTCCATTAAAACACTCCACTCTAGCAAAACTTGACCCTCTTAAATGAAACACAAGCCAACACACAACAGAAACAAATTCACTGCCATCAAGTCAATTCTAATTCATAGCGACCATATAGACAAGGGAGAAGTGCTGTGGGTTCCCAAGACTGTAACTCTAAATGGGGATGGAATGCCTTATCTTTCCCAAAATGAAAATACACATACAGTCATAAAGAGTTCTATAGGAAAATAGGCTAATGTCAAATGGAAATGTATTTCAAAGCTATGTCTTTAAATTTTTTTAACAAAACAAACGTATTACCTTCAAAGTACACTCCAGTACACTTTATACATTTGTCAAATCTGTGATTCCATTCTTGGAAACAGTTTTTAAACTCATCTGTTGGGATGGCTGACAGCT